GCATGCCTAACACATTCAATAGACACTGAAGATTCTTTTAAACCATCCTTGACCACAAGATTCATGATGTGAGCCATACATCTCACGTGAAGGTGATTACCGTTCATCAAATTAGTTCCCATTTTTGTTAATTGCTTAGACAATTCTTTTACTGTTACATCATTAGAGCTTGCATTATCAACTGTGACAGTGAAGATCTTATTTATCCCCCACTCACGCAAGCACCTACCAATACAATTTGCCATATCTTCGCCTTTATGACTAACAATAGGACAAAAAATAATTATTCTCTTATGCATATTCCATTCATCATCAATTCAATGGGCAGTGATACACATGTAATTAATTCTTTGTATAGAAGTCCAAGTATCAGTGGTAATACATACTCTTTGTTTCGTTTCTATAAAAGACCTATTCAACTTTTGCTTTTCTTTATTAAAAAGATCAAAACAATCACTGGTTACAGTACTACGGGAAGGGATCCGAAAATAAGGTTGCGCCACTTTCATAAAGTCTCTAAAACCTTCTTTCTCAACAAAGCTAAAAGGAAGTTCATCAACTATTACCATACGACATAACACCTTCCTACACTCTTCTTGATCAAATTTCCAAGTAACAACAGCTACGTCACCCCCCGGAATAGATTTAAAGCCTAAAATTGATTATTTTTTTTATCAACAATAGCCGGGCGTTTAGGACACTTAAAAATACGAGAAAGAAGTGTCGACGTACCGTCTTTGGTCTTAAAATAATACTCAATAAAGCAATAGTCACATTTTGCTTTTGTACTCCCTTCGAAAGTAATAATTTCTGTAAAATGATCCCACACAACAGACATTCCCCCCCCCCCTCCCTTTTTTAGTTATTGTGAGCACGTGATTTTTGCCGCGCTTAAATTACTCCTATAAATTCATTAGAATTAGGATTTTTCTTTTATTATTTGATTTTTTTTTTTTTAGGAATTAATCGCATAATTTTCATGTTTGCTTGCATTTTTGTAAGCATGGTTAATTTATAGAAACATACAAAAATAGTGCATTTGCATTTAGGACCTAATTTTCTACTTTTTAGGATGAATATTTAATTAAGGAAAGAAAATACCAAAAAATAGCTCTTCTTGCATTTTACCTTGTAATTTCCGAATTTGTCATAGTTTTCTTTAAATTAGGACTTAATTAATTTTTGGAAAAAATAATTAGTTTAGTTTTAGAATTAAATCAGGTCCTTTTAGCTTAATTTTGTATTTGACAAAAATCTGAAACAAAGGGAAAAAAGAGAAGAAAATGAAAAGAAAATAAAAGAATTGGGTTTTCCTTTTTAAAGACCCCAAAATTGGGCCAAATCCATTCCAACCCAATTAATTAAAGGCCCCAACCCGTCCAAAATCGCCCCAGCCTGCCTACCCGGCCCAAACTCACGCACAGTACCCGGTCCAGCCTTATTGTAATAAAACGACGCCGTTTCATTGGCGTTAGATCAAGACCGTCGAGGTTTCTTGATCGGACGGTCCTGAAGCTTGGGTCTTTTAATATTTAAATGTCCAAACGACACCCCCCCTCGTCTCTCTTCTCCGTCAAACCCTAGAGACCGTCTCCCTCCGCCCTGAGCCGCCGTCTGCCACCGCCGGAAATCGCCTACGGCGGTGGCCGGCGTCCAATCTTAACCAAATTTACACCGCAACACCCTGGTCTCCCCCTCATCATGAATCTACCATTATTTTCCCCCGACTCCCACTGGAACTCTTCGAATCTCCAAAACCCTAGCCGCCACCTCCACCGCCCACGGCGGCGCCGGTCCTAAACCACCCCAAACTAACACCCTACAACCCCCATGATCCCCTCGTACCAAATCCACAACTATTTTCCTTCGAATCTTCCCAAAACCCCTCGAATCTTAGATCCGGATAAGAGCCCTAAAAGTTCAAAACCAATTCCTGTGGCATGCATCGACCCAAGCTTGCTCTACTCACGTTCAGAGGATTGCTTCACTACAAAATTGATGCTATTCGTAATTTCTTGACTGTGAAAAGCGAGTGGTATCAATTTCGTGTGAATCTAGATATCAAGAGTCATTTCAAGTTTAGCTGGTGAGTTTCATTTCATTTTGAGGTCCGTTTTTGGTCTCATTTTTACCCGTCGTTCCTCTTCTTTTCTTCTCTTTTTCCTTATTTGACTTGAGTAATTTTCTGAGTGTGAGTGTTTCTTGTTCTTTTGCCCTTTCTATTCCATTTTTTCAAAACCATAAAAACGTGTTTGCTGATGTTCTTAGCCTGTTGAGTTTTATCAGTGTTATAAGTTAAAATTCTGATTTTTTCCCATTTTTACGTTAGTCTCTTTAATTTAGTTTAATTAGGTTATTTTGGTTTATTAACTTAGTTAATTACCTACCTAGTTATGTTAGTTGATTAATAATCTAGTTTGGATTGCTCTGGAAATCATGTTGGGTATTCTGTCCTGCGGATTTGCTCGTCAATTTAGATAGTTGTTAGTTTGGGCTTTGGGCTGTCTCTGATTCGTTTGGTAAAGAACAGCTCGTCCAAATGGGTTTGAGTTATTGGGTCAATTGTAACCCGTTGTTGGTTTGGTTTTTCAGAGGTAATAACAGGGTGCTTAAGGGGTAACTTGGGTAATGTACTGAGAGAATCTCTCAAGTAACTGCCCAAGAGGCTTCCTAGAAGCTTGTAGTAGGGGTCTGCTAGTAAATTTTAGGTTTAACTTGGGTAGCAAGGCATAAAATAGAGGACTAACTAGCAAAAAGGAAACTTAGGAAAGGTATAAAATAAAATAACTAAACCCCTAAGGCTGCCCTAGTAACTTGCCTATAAAGGCATTGTTACTTGAGGCTCAATGGAAAAAAAAAAGGGGGCTAAAATCCCTAAAAGTTCTAGGCGGCCAAAATTGCTAGAAAATACTGTTCCATTGCTGATGCTCTGATTTTTGAAGCTTCTCTAATTCTGGAGCATTTTTTGGTTCATTTAGGGCTTAGAAAAATAGATGGAATTTGGTTTCAAGGTCTGATGTTGAAGTTTTGGGCTTGCACTTAAGTGACTATGGACTAGCTTTCCTTGTGCTTTCAGTAGTTAGAGTTGCAGAGAAGTTTAGAGTGTCATTTTGAAGTTAACTGGGCTATTCAAGTCGATTTCTGGGTCTTGTTACTGGTTTTGGTAGCTGTGAATTCGATTTGAGATTGTTGTTGCTCTTGTTGCTTAACACTGCTACTTCCTCTTGCTGTTGCTGACTCCTTTCTTTACTTTGCTCAAATTCCAGGTACTTATCTTAGCCTCAAATGACTTATGAATGCGAGTCTGATGTATAGTCAAATTGGAAGAAAAATTAAAGTGCAAGCTGTATTTTACTTTTGTTTAAATACAATGCAATTTTGTATTCATTTGGACACTATAACATGTACATTGAGAGGACTGTATGGACTGTGACTTAACCGACTGCTATATGCTATAGAATCATATAAATACTCTGTTGAACAATGTTAGGCTTAATTCGTGTTAGTCCTGTTATCATGTTTGATAATCAAACTTAAAACATAGTTTGATGAAATTAGCCAGTTCATCACAAGGTTTCGTTTGTTACATTGTTTACTCAAAACTAGAGAGGACACTAGTGACTACTCATGCATTTACATGTCCATAATACAGATGTTAAAAGGTAGGCCGTTCGAGTTCCAGGTTATTTGTATGCTTTTCACTTGAATCGTGCACGATTGCCTAGTTTTTTTTTAAAATTAATAGATCCCTTATTACAATAACTGTAAAAAGAGTTTAATAGGCCAATTTGAAATCAAGATTGCATTTAATTCACAATAAAATCGGACATCCTGTGTCCAGTGAGACTTGGGCTTGGTCAGATGATAAGAGCCCAATTACAATAGGCTTCATAAACTGGAGCATAACATAACTCCACAAATACAATTCACTCTCAATTTGGGCTCCTGAATAAGCCCACTGCTCGATGGACTCTCGCCCAAAGTATGCTGAAATTCATTATTGTGGAATAGGTTTAGATGCCCTACTTCATAGTTTAACATAATATAAATTTGGGCTTTCAAGTTAGGTGGTGGGTTCAAATTAAAAGGCTTTGTCCTTTTGTTTGAATCCGGACTTGAACTCGAAGCCCGAATTTTATAACATTGATTATTTAGGCCCCTTTTAGAGACAAAATTCAATAGAAAATCATAGCATGCTTTAGGATATCCTTCAAATAAAAGTGGGACGAGCCTCGCCAAACAGATCTATAAATTGCGGGGCCCCCATTAAATGCTTATATTAAAATATTTTAGAAATTGGGCAAGCCATTTAACAAATTTTCATGGCTTCCCGCAAAGTTAATAAGGCGCTAGCCACTTTAGGCACGCTTTTAATAATTTTACTTTCCTAAACTCGGGTGCGCATTTCATGCAACCCAAATCCAAATCCCAAAACGTTGAATAAGAGGTGTTTAGGATCCGGGTGCATTTCATGTGACGTGATCCAAAAATACGCTCTTAAACGGCGTTCACTTTCGTAAAAACAAAATAAACTAAAAGCGGTAAATAATCTTAAAATTGCACTATAGGTTTAAATATGTATAAAACCAGATTTTAGCCATTTATGATAATTTAAGCGACCGTGCTACCACGGGATCCGGGGGTGCCTAACACCTTCCCTCGGGTCAACAGAATTCCTTACACAGAATTTCTGGTTCGCAGACTCCAATTGGGAAGTCGAAATTTTCCTCGATTTGGGATTTAAATTAAATCGGTGACTTGGGACACCAAAAGCCAAACCTATCCCAAGTGGCGACTCTAAAAATAAATAAATAATCCCATTTCGAATAATATCACTTTAAATGGAAAAACTCCCTTATACATTTATCCTTTCGGGGTAGGTGTGTAAAAAAGGAGGTGTGACAGTTATATTTGACTCTATTGTATCAGATTGACTTATTGCATTTGAATTACAAGCCCCACTTTAACCCATCACCTTATCATTTGTATATTTTCAGCTATGCATTAAGGAACTATCTGCAGAAAGACACAAGATCAAATTAAGACAGAAACAATAGTTAGTTTGAGGAAATTCAGTTAAAGATCCTACTAAACAGGCTCTTACTTTCCCGCCAGTTGAATCAACTACAACTATCCTGTAATGCAATAATACAGTTGGCGTGGCATCTTCTAGCTTCTAGCTATCTTCTTCAATAGCTTCTGTATCCATCCTCTGCAATCTCCATCTAGCTCACTTCAACTAGATTGAGCTAGAATTGAGCTTAACTAAGGAGATTAACGGGTCTCACTACAAAAAAACGGCGAGTTTGCGGAGGTTTAAGTGAGGCGGTTATTGCAACCTCCACAATTTATATCAAATTGGGGGGTTTATACAACCCCTACAAATGTATTAGATTTGCCCGTGGTCTATAACCTCCGCCAACCTTAAAAAATAAAAGCGCGTACTAACCCCAAATTTTCCCTCTTTTTTGAACCTTTCCCTCTTTTTTTTGGAAACCCCTCAATAATTTCATTGCGCTTTAGTCGTATATTTTCTACTTTCATGAAAGAGAAGCTTTTCAGCTTCCATTTTCTTTCACTTGAAAAATTAAAACCCTCACTTGAAGATTAGAAAAACTGAAAGAGATTCACAATACGTTCTCCACAATATGAAAGAGATGCAAATTTTTGCTTTCTTCCCCATTCTTTGATTTTGAACAATGTGGATTGTGGGTTCAGATCTATGGTAATTCCTCTTCCCCATTCTTTGATTTTGCTTTTCTGTGTTTCTTCCTTCTTGCATGTGGGTTTTAGGTTTATTTCCTCTGTTAATTTGTGTTTTCCCTTAACTGATTTTTCCTCTAATTTGTGGCTTTTTTGTTTTTCGATTCTCTACTGAGAGTAACAGAAGTTTTTGTTGAATCGGTGTATTTTGAAGAAGGATACAACACTCTCTTTTTGAATTTGAGATGTAAGTCTTCTTTCTCCTTCTGCATTAGGTATTTTAGGTTGTAAAATTTAGCTTTTTCGATATTTTTGTAGGTTAATTTCTACGATTTTGGGTATACTTAATTGAAATATTTCCTCTTGCATGTGCATGTTAGAACTGATTCTTATAGAATTGACTTACGATGTTTGTTGTTATTTAGGGTTGTTAGCTCCTTTAGTTACATTAAAATAGCTTCTTATGAATGCACGTTGTTGTTGTTGTTGTTGTTATGAATGCACATTGTAGAATTGGCTTGATTTAATTGCCAATTTGAAAGAAGACAAGATACACCCTTCTCTTCTATATATGCTTAAATTTTGACCATTCTACCTTGCTTATTTATGCATTATTTACTTACTAAAATGTTCAGAATACTAGAGATGCTGCCCATGGTTCAACAGTTGAAATTCCTCTTGATAGTGCGAAGGTGAGCCAAATTTGACAATTTGAACTGTGTATATATCGCTTGTCACTTTGACGATGACCACAATAATTCAATGTTCATTTGGAGAATAGAGTTGAATGATTGTTTACTTATATAACAATTCAGGATCTGAAAAAGAAGGAGAAGGACCTACAAGCTCGAGAGGCTGACCTGAGAAGAAGAGAACAAGTAGGTTTACATAGCACTCTATGGTGGCTTCTAGTTATGCCTTTGTCTATCTTCTGTTATGTGAACAATCCAGAGTTTTGTCAAATAGCTTTCTTCATCTTGAAGTTGTTTATCCTTCTAGAGATTTATACGTTAGTAAAAAATATAATAAACTCCTATTATTACTATTATTATTTTTATTTTGGATAATATTGGCCTGAGATGGATTTATATAGAGTAACATCGTTAGTGAGGATTCATATAACCAACACCAACTTGTTTGGGACTGAAGCGTAGTTGTTGTTGTTCTCTACCATGTGAAACTATTGCTACTTTAATATTTGGTTTACACAGAAGTTCTGTTTGAGCTTGAAGGATTAGACGTTTCTGGTGCTGAATCGGTGTATTTTATTTGTCAAGTGATGAGGAATATATTAAAGCTTCTAATATATCCACAATATTTGTCACTGATTCTAATCTTATCAGATTGTTCAATCAATGTCTATTGTTCATTGCACTCATCAATTGGTACTTGATTAACCTATGGTGTATTCATTTTTGTGGTGTAATACTTTTGGAGTTTTCTTTCCCTTCATAACATCTCTCTTTGTGTTCCCTTTTGAGTTTTATTCTTCAAATTATCTTCCAAAAGTGGATATATGACCTGCATCTTTGTGCAAAAAGTTCAGTGTGCATATCTACTGAACAGACTATGTTAAAAGGAACCAGCAGCAAGTATAAAGAATGCAAAAAGCTTGAAATCATAAAAATGTGTTAATCATAGAAAATATTATGTATATGTTCTATCTCACACTGTTTTTATCTTTTAAGATTAAAAAGGAGCTAGCAAGATACTTAACGTGAAGAAAAGGGACGTGTTAAATTTGTCTAATGGAGAACGTATTGTGGTTGATTTTGACGACACGGATCCTCGTTCAATGGTAAGAATAGTTCATAACTTTCTTATTCAATTTTATAAAGTATGATTGATCAGTCCAAGTAATACTCTAAATTGGGATACCTGAAGAATGCTTTCTTGCTTCTTAGATTCACAAACTTCGCAAGTCAATTTAATCTTTATGTTAAATTCACTGTCTATATTCACTGGCAGAGCTTTTAGCATAACTTTATGCTAACAATGTTAATTCACTGTCGATATTCTATGATGTTTAAGATGTACAGAGAAAATTCACGAGTTCTTTTCATGGACTGGGCGAGACAGAGAGAGAATATTTGTTTCTTTTGCTTGAATGTTCAGTACTATGACTATAAATTTTGAGTCGTAGATTTTCTATTATATAGAAGAGAGAAGAGGAGGTTGACCAAGGGCATAATAGTCATTGTAAATATATTAGTGCATTGTTTGTTTGTATATTAGGCTCAAAAGTTTGGTTGTGGGTTCTTAATAACATGAAAATTCAAAACTAACTTGCCCATAAGTTATTAAATTCTTTAGGTGGACCCCACTTTCCATTCAACCTTCACAATATTCATTAAATGCATTACTTGATTGTTATTATTATTTTTTCAATAAGTACTTTTAACTAGAAAAATTATTTTTTTGATAATTATATATTTCAAGTGTTCACCTGATTAAAAATACTAAGGTCATTTTATACAAAGTTCTCATTAAATTGCAATTTCAATTGGAATACTTCATAATATTCGGAAAAAAATTATTTAAGAATAAAATATAGTTTCAAGTCCCTTTTTTTATTATAGAATATAAAAAATTTGTTCAAATTGTATCATAAGTATCCCCTCTCTAAAATATGAGTTGAGAATATTTGAAGTAAAAATTAAGACAATTAAACTCGACAAGTGTTTCAAAGTGATTGGTATAGTAATACGATTTGAGAAAAATTAAAATGCACATAATGCAAAAGATAAATAACAATACATGTAATCGTGGTTCTATACGTTATTACACAAAAGCCTATTCTCTTTCTTCTTTCTCTAAAGGCGTAGAAAGAATGTAATTAACAATAGACCAAGAAATATTAATAGCCTGTTTGGCCAAAAGTACTTTTTTTTTTGCCAAAAGCACTTTTGGTCAAAAATTGAGGTGTTTGGCAATAGAAGAGAGAAGAGGAGGTTGACCAAGGGCATAATAGTCATTTTAAATATATTAGTGCATTGTTTGTTTGTATATTAGGCTCAAAAGTTTGGTTGTGGGTTCTTAATAACATGAAAATTCAAAACTAACTTGCCCATAAGTTATTAAATTCTTTAGGTGGACCCCACTTTCCATTCAACCTTCACAATATTTATTAAATGCATTACTTGATTGTTATTATTATTTTTTCAATAAGTACTTTTAACTAGAAAAATTATTTTTTTGATAATTATATATTTCAAATGTTCACCTGATTAAAAATACTAAGGTCATTTTATACAAAGTTCTCATTAAATTGCAATTTCAATTGGAATACTTCATAATATTCGGAAAAAAATTATTTAAGAATAAGATGTAGTTTCAAGTCCCTTTTTTTATTATAGAATATAAAAAATTTGTTCAAATTGTATAATAAGTATCCCCTCTCTAAAATATGAGTTGAGAATATTTGAAGTAAAAATTAAGACAATTAAACTCGACAAGTGTTTCAAAGTGATTGGTATAGTAATACGATTTGAGAAAAATTAAAATGCACATAATGCAAAAGATAAATAACAATACATGTAATCGTGGTTCTATACGTTATTACACAAAAGCCTATTCTCTTTCTTCTTTCTCTAAAGGCGTAGAAAGTATGTAATTAACAATAGACCGAGAAATATTAATAGCCTGTTTGGCCAAAAGTACTTGTTTTTTTTGGAAAATTGAGGTGTTTGGCCAAACTTTTGGAAGGAAAAAAAGTGCTTTTGAGGAGAAGTAGAAGCAGTTTTGGAGAAGCAGAAAAAAGTGGCTTCTCTCCAGAACCACTTTTTTGAGAAGCACTTTTGAGAAAAATACACTTAGAAGCAGTTTTTTAAAGCTTAGCCAAATACTAATTGCTGCTCAGAAGTGCTTTTCAAACTAATTAGCCAAATACAAACTGCTTCTCACCAAAAGTACTTTTGAGAAAAGCACTTTTGAAAAAAAGCACTTCTCAAAATAAGCTGATTTTTGCAGCTTGGCCAAACGGGCTATAAAAAGGATGAAAACAAGAAGAAAGAAAAAAATAATAATAATTGGGCCCGTGCATCGCACGGGTACATCATCTAGTATATTTATATTTAAGTCCAGGAGGTTGGTAAAACCATTTTCCCTCATAATTATGTATATATAAGATGCATGGAGTTTCACTATGTTGCATGCACAATGGATATACTACAAATAAAATACTATGGGAGGAAAATTATATCTACATTTTTACACTCAAATAGCATCCCAAAACATTGAGCTGAAAGAATGCATATACTACAAACTCAGAAGCTCAAAGAAAAAGTAATTAAGGCAGAACAAAAAGGAAATCCCAAAATCTAAACACTACAACACCTTTTCAAGCCTAAACCACAAGAATTTGATCTCACAAAAGAGTCCAAGGTCTTTGCAACATCACTAGCACAAGGTCTTGCTGCTGCTTCACTAGCAGTGCATTGCAGTGCTAAGTAATTATTAGTTAGGATATTATTGAGGTACTTTTTGTTAATTATATTTTATTTTGATTGTTTTGTAGCCAATTGATGCGGCTAGCGGATCCATTTCACCCATGGATATAAGAAGATCATCCGGTGGAAGTAATCCTAACGACAACCATTGAAGTTGCTTGCAAATGTATTAGATAATTAAGTAACGTACTCGATTGAATGGTGATCTTTTGTCCATAATGGTTGGAGTGGATGTTCTGTTTAAAGTTAGTTTTAAGACTAATTAAAATATTGATGTTTTGTGTTTAATGGTTAGAGTACTTGTGTTTAAAGCAAATTTTTGAGACTAATGATAATTTACTTTAATGTATTTTATGGTTTATTAATATATAGATGTTACTCGATTCCAATAAGCAATTTATATAATTTGTTGATGCTTCATTATATTAATATAATTGAAATTGGTACAGTTATGGAGTAACATTGCAGGAAAAGAAAAAAAAAAATCAATGAATAGCGGAGGTTATAATTGCCGCTATTTAACCTATAATAATATTGTGTTATAACATTTGTGGGGGTTAAATAAAACACTTGCGGGGGTTATAAACCTCCGCTATTTTTTTAACAAGTGATAGCCAAACTACCAAATTGCGTCGGTTATACCGCCGTCAAATACCCGCCGCTATATAATAACGGCGGTCTGTCAAACAACCCCGCAAATTGGTTGCGGCGAACATTATTGCGGGGGTTTTGGAAACCGCCGTAAAAGCATATTGCGGAGGTTTCTGACCGCCGCAATATGTAAATAAAACCTCCGCAAATTCAGCGTTTTTTTGTAGTGCTGTCTTCTTTCTGCACTATCATTTGCATATATCAATTGCCATAGCTAGAGAGATAAGACCAATATAGCAAAGAAATATATGAGAATGTAGTTTGATCTTTTGCCATGACAGTTTAAAATCTGGAACTCAATCACCTAGTTCTTGTCTCAAGAACCAAATAGACTAATGAACCATCTCAGCAAGATGCATAAGAAGTTTCCGGCACTAATGTTCAAAAGTTGGAACCTCTATAGCTCAGAACCTGATGGATTGAAAATTTAATTGACCTCAGAAGCTTGAAATGCATAAAGATAGCACTATAAGGGTGATTGCATAGCCTGGTGGTCAAATTTTGAAGCTTGTATAATGACTAAATCCTTTATAAATTACAGTACTTCACTGGAATTTTTCTGTCAAGGTGAGGCAATAAGTATTTGTCAATGATCCACATAATATAAAGACAATAAAAGAGGCAGTAAAGTTTTAAACATTACTTTTCTATTTCCTTTATAAAGACTAATATCTTCTCAAAAGAGGACAGAAACTTCATTCACTGATAAGTATTATATAAAATAAAGGCATGCAAAACTATAGATATATCCAAAGATATATCACCAGCGTAATGATGGCACTCAATTTATACCATTAATTAAGACAACTCAAAGTCTCAATCTTAAGCTGAACAAAGGCCACAAAGCCAGATTCAAGAAATGCAACCCAAAGTTGATCCAGCTGCAGATAGCAAAAACCTAACTTGCAGGACAGTGCTAATGTGTGCTGACAAACCACTGTTATAACTACCGCTGCTGCTTTTATTCTTTACGCCTGTTTCTGGGCTGATCCAACTAGGCTGGAAAAGAGGAAGGAGCTGAAAGAAAAAGAGTTGAATGTCACAAGAGAGATACTGCAGGTCCAGCAATACAGAGCTTTTGTTGCAGCACTTGTAGGTGGAGTTTAAGGCCAGGCTGAGATAAGAGTTTCATGGTAAGATTGAGTTCACACTACTTTATCATCCAAAGCTGATATATAGATGATGGTTGACCTCAGCTTTACACATCTTTCACCGCTCTAAAGCAATGAGGAATTAAAGCCAGGACTTGGTATCATTCCTCACAAGGTAGGGGTAAGGTCTGCGTACACACTATCCTCTCCAGACCCTACGGTGTGGGATAATACTGTGTATGTTATTGTTGTTGTTGTTTATCATATAAAGGTGAAAAACAGAACACTTAAGAACCCCATTTGCTTTCGTGAGCAATCTACTGAAGTTTTTCGAGTTAGCAAAATGAAGGGCAGTGAAAAAATAATAAAACTTTGACCAGCTCATTAAAGTAAGTTCCCTTGAATAAGGGACATGGAATCATGCTAGTAGAGGCATGTGGCAATCAGAGGCGGCTCAACGATATTTGTGGCCTAAAGCCAAAAATTAAGAAGAGGCCTTAAATTATAGTAATTACATATATTTAATTTTTATTTGATTTTTTTTAATAATGGTTTATGAATCATCTTGTACGTATTTTGCCATTCACTTGGCTATCTGCTAGCTCCCCACCATCGTATACATCCAGTAACTCTACTCATAAAGCTTCAAAATTTTTTATAAAAAAACATCCGCAGTTAAGGATAACATTTTTGTAAATTTTAATCATCTGATGATCTTAATTCTGTTAGATGTTAAAATAATTTTATACATTTGAATAGTTTAAGTGTAATTGAAATTGAAAAAAATGACTTCACCTACTTACTCTTTATAAGAAATAATCTACTTCAAAAGATATTACAAATTAAAAGACTTTATTTTTTTTATTTTATTATCAATGTTGTCATCAAACTCATGTTATTTTGCCATATGCATATTGCACGTTTATTTTTGAAATTCAAAAATTTATTTAAATAACCTCTATTACACTCTAAAAAGAAAAAAAATCTGGTATCTTTTTTATAATAATTTTATAATAACACAATATTAACTGCTAAAAAAAAGTTGAGGCCTTCAATTTGGGGAGGCCTAAAGCAATTGCTTTAGTCGCCTCCCCCTTGAGCCGGCACTGGTGGCAATTTCCAATATTTCTTTGAGTAGAACATGTTGAGGATACATCAACATCAATAATATTGTGTCGCATTACCCATTGATAAGAACCGGATGAGCATAATTTCAAAACAATCAACTTCCCTTCTTGTTCTTCTTTTAATAACCAAAACATTCACAAAAATATGGGAAAAAGGTTCCCAAGAAAATTAGCAAGTGATTCACCTATAAACTAAACGAATCACGATGGTTTACATGTAAAAAATGCCTCCATTAACCAACTTTAAAGGGGAAGTAGGTAATATCACCTCTCCTTTTGAACCCTCTTACAACAAAAAGGTTCAAGATTTCAAAGCTTAGCTATAGAGGAATTAATTGAATTGACATCAGTTTAAACAACAAAGTAGCTCATATAAACTAGAGTTTGTATTTCAATGGAAAAAGTTTTCACCAAAGTTGAAGGATTTCAATATTAACGAGCTTGAACTGTCTAAGTACATCACTTTACCATGACAAGGTATCCCGATCGGCGTTTCTGTTTCCTAGGGCAATTTTCTTTGTAATACCAAAAATGGAGATGAGTGTAGAACTCACTTCTGCTTCCTAGGGCAGTTTCTTTACAAATTGGGGGAAAAAACAAAACCAACGCCGTTGCCTGGGATCGAACCCGGGTCACCCGGGTGACAGGCGGGAATACTCACCACTATACTACAACGACTTTGTTGGTGCCTTTCCTATGGCAAAAAATAAATTAATCCAATATTTTCGTTTTAGAAATCCAAGAGTTTCCAACTATCAGTTCGCTATAGTATCTTGAAAGTTTCTCATATATAAAACGAATTTCAATCAGGTACCCTTATCGTATAAAGAATTTTTACATTATTAGTGTATTTGAATTGGTTATAGCTGGTTAATTACTTTATTTTTCTTTCTAAATTACCAATTTTTGCCTACTTTGAATAGTTAAATGTTTTTTCAAGAAGTTAAAAGTCATTTGAATTTTATTTACAAACACTATCCCAATGGTGCACTCACTTTTAAGTACATCTTTACCTAGCGAATCACGTAGGCAATAGGCAGGCACCAATTCAAGACAAAAGAATGAACGGTTCATTGGCCAAAATTTGAAATATAGCGCATGGTGGAGTGCAAACAAATACCTATTTGTAATCTGTAAACTCGGATTTAAAAGTTATTCTCTTTGAAGTAAGCGCAAGTGTACCAGTTTTTTGCTTCGACTCTTTTAGAAAATTGCTCAATCAAATAAGCCACAATTGGATTAACTGAAAAATCATCATTGCACAACCAATTTAATTCTATTTCATATGATTAAATGGATAGGAGTCATTGAATTTGAATAAAGTTCCACTCTCCCCTTTAGCCGTGCAAATGCACAAAGAATCTCATCATTATATGCAATCCTTCATTATTCAAATAGAAAGTGACATCTAGTCGTAGTGAATGGTCATCATCCTTTGGTTTCAGAACTAAAAATATCTCAGTTCTTTGATCACATTATATCGAATTGATACTACCAAAGTGCGTAGTAGAGTGACAACTACTTCTATATCCTTAACCAAGTCTTATACTTGAGTGCTGAGTATAAAATTGCCTTTGGTAGGGAGCAGTTTAATCCAAAGCGAAACTTTTAGCACGAATAATCGGGTCCAAAAATAGGTACGAACACTGGGCGAAAAACAAAAAGACATTTTATCGAAATGATGGATAAGCAAATTATACACTCCTAAGCCTAACCCCTTTGATGAGTATCGATAAACTCCACAATTTAATTTAAGAAAATAAAAAATAGATAACGAAATGTCCAGCATATGTCACACAAAAAATACAGGACAATGCATTTGAGAAATAAAACATCCTAAACTTAAAAGTAAAATGTAGAAAATCTCATGGAATCTTCAGATTATCATCTAACATATCGCTTTTGCAGCATATGTCGTGTATGGTTGTTGCATCGTCACTCAACCTTGTACGGTATTAGAGAAAGATTCAGGATTGTAAATCTGCACCAAACGAATATGCTACTGGAAAATATGAACAGAGCAATAGAGTATTGAAAGCTCAAGAGAAAGGAGTAGTATATTGCTTTGTATTGCGTGAATATGATGCCTTTTACAAATGATCAGACCCCCTTTAGCAGGGGAGTCCTACCTTAAATACAGTTCTAAAACAGTAAAAAATCCCATGATTAGCTAATTAATCGGCCTCTTCTTGATATGTGCCGAGATTTCCGCCGTGATCCTCGTCCGATTGCATATATTTTGGCTTTCCGTTATTTGGCTCGGTAAACTTCCCTCGATCTTGCTCGATCTCTATCTTGTCTGGTTTCAATCTTGGCCGACCTCGATCTTGATCGGTCTCTGGGTCTCGAGATCGGCAATCTAACTTTATACCGTGGTCCGATATAACATGGGGTCGAACCTTGGCCTGCCTCGTTCTAGGATAAGTCTGATTTTGACCGTATACAAAACAACAAAGTACCTTTTCACAAATGTTGAAGGATTTCAAATCAAGACTT